TTATTTATATAGATAGATAGAAAAGAACCCGTAATGTGAGTTTATTTATTTTAAGCTTCATGCACAAAATGTACATAAGGTGGACTTAATGCAGCAGGTACTTTCTCCCAGTCTGACCTTTAGGTGATGCAGAGAAGAGTCAATGGTGTGAGCAAAAAGCAAGCAACTATTTAATAGAGCAAATAAAATAGATAGACGTACATATTTCAGAGATAAACATAAATAAACATAATTATAATATATATACCTACACACGAGTACAACACAATACACATACATGCATTCATACATATATACATATATACATACATACAATAAATATAGAGTTTTTTCTAACATAGAGCGATAAACGAGTATCACCTGATGGTAAGCAATTGACGCTATCTATGAACATCAAAGTCGTTACGAGTGTGTTGCCGACCTTTTTTAATGATTGAGAGATTCATACGGTGAAATAAGTCAAGCGTTCTTTCATGTCCATATGGCCATGATCCAACCAACCTATTCGTGCCAAAGCATGGCTCTCCGATACTTAACATAATTAATAATTTTGTGTAAAAACTAACCGTCCAATTATACTCGATGCAGTAATCGAACTCCAGATCACTTCTCTTGTGTTTGTTTCTAAGCACTCGCTTCCCACTGTTCACTAGTTAAGTGACGAGTCTAATCACATCCATTGTATGAAAGTCGTACTTAAATGAGTAAAAGAGCTAAGCAAGGGATAGTAATAATGATAACAAACATCTTTCCCAAAGAAACATATTTTGCGGCGGAAGCGCCATCTCGATTTTGCGTCTGCAACTATTTCCACCATCTACCTCCGTAGCGCACACAATAATAAACTTAATTTTATCGCCATCTGCCGGGTGCACACCTATATTATGGCAAAAATTTCGATGATAGTACTCGTAGACAAAAAGAAACCAGGTCCATCTGAAGTTAATAAACTTCTGACAAAAATCTCAGTAGGTAGGTACAGTACCTAAATATGAATGCCGATCTTGTAGTCGCAATAGTTATAACACAATCAAAAACGTAATGTGTTTCGAAAATTTCTCAAAATTTGATCATTTATTTATTCATTTAACAATTTACATTGTGTCTGAATTTAATATAGGTACAAAAAAAAGAGATAAGCAAATTCACGATTCACACAAAAGAGATCAAAATCTATGCCTGTGCAATACCGATACATAATTACGCATCTGAAAACGCACTATTGTCCACAATTCTTCAAAATACCTTAATATACGGACTGGATTGAACGATATTTTGGTCAATATCAAAGATTATTATAGATAAATATATTACAAAAGTTAAAAAATAATTTCATAACATAATATAACATCAGCCTTTTATCCCCGAAGAGGTTGGCAGAGGTGCACATTACGGCACTTAATGCTACTGTACAATATAACACCCACTTTTCACTATTTATGTTATAAGACCCGTGTAATAGTGAGCATATTGCCCTATACCGAGCTCATTACCAGACTCCGTGCTACTACCGAGATTTAAAAAAAAAACCAGTAATAATAATAATAACATTTTGGCAATGCATAGAGATGTAGCTTCGTTGTGTATTTTCTATCGCTTATACCACAGGGAGTGCTCTGAGGAATTGTTTGACCTGATAACTGCCGCATCTTTTCACCATCAACCCTCACGACAGCATATGCATCACCAACATATAGATGGTTGACCATGACCACAATTGTGCTCTTCTCACGTAGCTTTCTACCTCGCACAGCAAAACTGTGGAATGATCTGTCGTTAGCGGTATTTCCGAACCGATACGACATTCAAACGTTCAAGAAAAGAGCGTATTTTTTTTTTAAAAGGCCGGCAACGCACCTGTTACTCCTCTGCTGTTGCGGGTGTCCATGGGCGGCGCTGATTGCTTACAATTAGATGATCCGCCTGTTCGTTAGCTTACTTAAAAAATTCTTTGCCGACCCGGGAATCGAACCTTGGCCAGAGTCGCACTTGCGACCACTCGGTCAACGAGGCAGTCAAAATTAATCCTGTATTAATAATCTTTTTGATTGTAGGTACATACTGAATAGATGTACTTAAAGACAATAATATTAGTATCAAACACTCTCACAAGATGTCACTAATGTACATCTTATTGGGTTCCATTCGAATCAATGAAACACTTCATGCGAGGGGGTGAAATATCTAACATATAGAGATTTGACATTGCCATTTGTTGAGTTTGAGTTATTGATACACAACGTAATGCACTTGTCCAATTTGCTATCAAACGAATTAAGGTCTTTTAAAACCTCATTACAAAGTCGAGTACATTAGACACTAAATGCTTCAGTGGTCAGGTTGTGGTGTAGTAGTCGTAAGATATATATTAAGCATCCTATATTCAATATATTCAGTGTATTCTCGGAGCTCGTTGGTTTCATTACACTCATCCAAACACCCAACCTTACAAGGTAAGGTTATTAATTAAATTGACAAGTTGAAGTATATAAGCTGTACGCTGTGCAGCTGTAGACATTGTGTAAACAGCTCCGATACAATACCATCACCAACAATGAAATCCATGGTAAGTTCTTTTTGTCATCATATCAGCTACAAAGGCATCCACTGCTAAACATAAGTCTCCTCCTATGACTTCAAAATCAACCACCTTTATCATGATAAAGGCCGCAAGTAGTAACTGGATGCAAGTCGTGGACTATCTAAATCCCTTCACAGCCAAAACTTACCCTGATTGATTACTCTAGATTGTTGATTTTAAAGACTATTGTCTAATTCTGTATTGTTTCTTCCAACAGATCATTTTCGCAGTTCTGGCCTTCCTGGCGGTCGCTAGCGCCAAGCCTTTCCTCGGTGACTTAGGAGCTGGTCTTGGGGAAGTAGGAGCTGGTCTTGGAGCTGGCCTTGGCAACATCGGGGCTGGACTTGGGGCCGGACTTGAAGGTACACACTATCATTTGATTTGCATTAACTAACCCAACCTCTTGGGAATAGTGACAATAATATATTAACCATTGCTTAGAGCTGTGTAGAAACTTTTGTCATCACTCTCCCGTGGGTGTCGTCCGTCCATACAAGGTCGTTTTAGGCAAAGAAATTCAACGAATACTTTTGATGCCATTTCCAAAACCATATGTTTAATATTATGTTCTATTCCAGGTATCGGAGCTGGTCTTGGCCTTGGTGGGCATGGTGGCGGTATCGGAGGGCAGGGTGGTATTGCCGGCCTGGGCGGTCGTGGTGGCAGATATTAGACCTACTTAAAAGACCTTATTAACAGAAACAACATCTTGTTTGTAATACAAATAAATGTTTTGACTTGACTACTTCAATATTATTTTTTGTTGTACCGAATATTCCTACAACGTATTTAACTAATTTGTAATAGATCAGAAAACAGGAAGGCTCTCACATTTGCTTTCTTAGAGATATTATTTGAGATCAATAGGACTCCTCGACAATGATGGCGAATCAATCGAGGGTTATCCAAATTGTTAGCGGTTCAAACTTATTATAACTTGTAAATTGTACTTACTACAGCGATAGTCCATGGATATCCGGAAACATGACAAAATATATGTGTCGCAGAATCAACAAAGATGCACAGCTATCGAGTATCGTTATTTTAGAACAACGCCATCTGTTATCATTTGTCGGAAACGTCAAGCAGTGTGCTTGGGTGATGGTCGGTACGGGGCGTGGCATGTTGGCATTTTAAAAGGCGTCACTTTTGAGTTGGACTCGAGGGTGAGCGGTTGTTCTGCCAGCCCGTATCGAACTTACCGCGTTTACGAAGAATCCGATGATGAAGTACCCCCAATGGGTGCATTTTCTCCGACATATGTATAAATAAAAACTGTAATTTTCCTAAAATAATGGCAAGGATAAAAATGGCAGACCTTTTATTTTATTATGGTTTAGGGAACAGAGTGGAAAGTTCCCTTATATCGAAAAAGGAGGATCCTCCGACCAGGCGAGGTGATCGTGTCTGGCGGGCTTTCTGCCCAACAGTTGCTCGTTGGGATTTTCTATCCGCGTTAATTCGCATGTAATCTTTGCATGTGCGATGTACGATTTTTGTGACGTCATTCGTTGACATATACCATATGTCGCCACAATGGTATATGTTATGAGTCCCATGTAATAGCGGGTGAGCCTATTTCCATATACCAGGCACAATTCCAGACTCCGTGCTACCACTGATTTTTTTTTTAAAACGCAGTAATACGTTGTCCCAACCGGGAATCGAACCCGAGACCCCCTGCCCAACAGTCGCACCTGCGACCACTTGGTCAACGAGGCGGTCTTTTTTGTTCTTCTCCTCTTATAATATCTTCTGATATTCTTTGTTGCGGTAACCAAGAGAGTTATTCATGTCCCTAAGACGTTGGACTTCAGTGTTCCGGTGTTTTCATGGTTGTATTTACTGTAGATTCTGTTTGGGAGGTTGTGGGAATTGTAGCGGTGTGCGGTGATTGTGGCGTGTGTCGCCACAATGGTAGATGTCAACGGATGACGTCACAAAAATCCTACATCGCACATGCAAAGTTTACATGCGAATTAACACGGATAGAAAATCTCAACGACCAACTGTTGTGCAGAAAGCCCGCCAGGCACGATCACCTCGCCTGGTCGGAGGATCCTCCTTTTCCGATATAAGGGAACTTTCCACTCTGTTCCCTAAACCATAATAAAATAAAAGGTCTGCCATTTTTATCCTTGCCATTATTTTAGGAAAATTACGGTTTTTATTTATATATTTTGTCATGTTTCCGGATATCCATGGACTACCGCTGTAGTAAGTACAATTTACAAGTTATAATAAGTTTGAACCGCTAACAATTTGGATAACCCTCGATTGATTCGCCATCATTGTCGAGGAGTCCTATTGATCTCAAATAATATCTCTAAGAAAGCAAATGTGAGGGCCTTCGTGTCTTATGATCTATACAAATTAGTTAAATACGTTGCAAGAATATTCGGTACAACAAAACAAAATATTGAAGTAGTCAAGTCAAATCATTTATTTGTCTTACAAACAAGATGTTGTTTCTGTTAATAAGGTCTTTTAAGTAGGCCTAGTATCTGCCACCACGACCGCCCAGGCCGGCAATACCACCCTGTCCTCCGATACCGCCACCATGCCCACCAAGGCCAAGACCAGCTCCGATACCTGGAATAGAACATAATTTAAATATATGGTTTTGGAAATGGCATCAAAATTATTCGTTGAATTTCTTTGCCTAAAACGACCTTGTATGGACGGACGACACCCACGGGAGAGTGATGACAAAAGTTTCTACACAGCTCTAAGCAATGGTTAATATATTATTGTCACTATTCCCAAGAGGTTGGGTTAGTTAATGCAAATCAAATGATAGTGTGTACCTTCAAGTCCGGCCCCAAGTCCAGCCCCGATGTTGCCAAGGCCAGCTCCAAGACCAGCTCCTACTTCCCCAAGACCAGCTCCTAAGTCACCGAGGAAAGGCTTGGCGCTTGCGACCGCCAGGAAGGCCAGAACTGCGAAAATGATCTGTTGGAAGAAACAATACAGAATTAGACAATAGTCTTTAAAATCAACAATCTAGAGTAATCAATCAGGGTAAGTTTTGGCTGTGAAGGGATTTAGATAGTCCACGACTTGCATCCAGTTACTACTTGCGGCCTTTATCATGATAAGGTGGATGAGTTTGAAGTTATAGACGGAGACCTAACATTTATGTAGTTATAAACAATGTAATAATCTTTACGTAATAAACATACATTTAGCAGTGGATGCCTTTGTAGCTGATATGATAACAAAAAGAACTTACCATGGATTTCATTGTTGGTGTTGGTATTGTATCGGAGCTGTTCACACAATGTCTACAGCTGCACCGCGTACAGCTTATATACTTCAACTTGTCAATTAGTAATGTGAATTTAATTAATAACCTTACCTGGCTACTAGTGGCCACTGAAGCATTTAGTGTCTAATGTACTCGACTTTAGGCAATCCTGTTTGTAATGAGGTTTTAATAAGACATTAATTGGTTTGATAACAAATGAGACAGGTTTATTAAGTTGTGTGTACCACCAAACCAACGTCAAAGTGAAATCTCTTATGTGTTAGATAATAGGTTTTTACCTTTTTATTTCTATTAATTACCACCCATGTATTAGTAATCACCCATGCATATTTTCCAACGCAGCGGCAACAAATTGTTCAAAGGCATTTTATACCTATTGCCTCTCGGGTATTGATTTATTTCCCGCCAAGAAGTTACCCAAATTCTGGAAAAAGTAGTCTGTAGGCGCAATGTCTGGTGACTAGGAGGGATAACGAAGAGCTTCCAATCCCAGTTCTTGCAACTTGGAGAACGTCTGCTGTGCAGTATGAGGTCGCGTGTTGTTGTAGAAGAGTACATGAACTACCTTCCATTAAATTGAAAATTTTACGTAATATTTATATGCACCCGGCAGATGGCGTTAAAATTGTGTTATTTTATTTGCACTACGTCCGTAGAACGGAGTGGAAATAGTGCCAGAAGCAAAATCTAGATGGCGCCACTGCATACTCAAAACTTAATTGGCGAGGAGTTACTGAGTGGCGAGCAGCCACAAACGTAAACAAGAATACCTTCAGTGTCACATTATTAAAATGTCGATACAATTTTGTACAATTGATATTATGTGTGGGAGAACCATGATCCGGTACGATTGAGTTGGATTGACCGACGTGATGCCAAAGCCTCACTGAAAACCGGCGTGAAACAACGCTTGTGTTGCGTTTCGCTGTGTGAGTGAGGTTATCGAATGCTCAACTCCCCCTCCTATAGAGGTACAATACGAGCAGTCCGCCCATCACATACTCTTTTTTTTGCTGTGGGTAAGTCATCCAATGACTTCTCCCGCCCGGGTGAGGCGAGAGGGAGTGTCAGACTCTTACTGACTAAAAACCACCCCGTTCCTACTCCTGCACTTCGAGCCGGAGCCCCGGTTACCCGTTAAGTCTTCCGCAGCTCCGTATTGGCATCAGCCCTGTTGGGCCCCATCTATGGTGGTCTGATGGCTCCTTGAGGCGCGCGCGGTACGCGACGCGCCGTACGCTCGGGCCTGGTTCTGGTCGGGTGGCGAGTCACCCGTGCTCGCCGTCCGCAGGCCCGTGCTTACGGTGGCCGGAGATCGTCTCGTGATCCCCGACGCCCGGAGTGTCTCTCGCGACGGCCGGTTCGTGAGGAGGAGGTTCGTTCCTTCACGTGCTCCGCCTCCTCCTTAGCTAGCATGACTGCTTCGCAGAAGGAGGAGACGGCATCCCAGTCTGCTTCGCTCCGTATCATGGTCTGAACCAGAGCCGGACACGAGAGGTCGCCGATCACATTCCTGAGAACACAGCGGTACTCAGTCGACGCAGGACACACCGCCACCGTATGCTCCACCGTGTTCTCCGGGCGATCCTCGCAGTGATGACGCCTGGGCGTTCCTCCCGCCCAATCCGAAACAGGAACCTACCGAAACTTCTGTGTCCGGTAAGCACCTGCATCAGGCGGTAGGTGAGGACGCCGTAGCGTCTCTCAAGCCACTCCTCAAAGAGGGGACTTACCGCTGCAATGACAGCGAGCCCAGCCTTCGGTTGCGACAGTTGTTGCTGCCATTCCGCCATGAGATCGCGCCGGAGCTCATTCCACCACGCACTAATCTGGAATCAAGAATAACAGCTCTCTCGTAGGACCCACTCAGTTTTTAGTCAAATTTCCATGGTGCTTGGCGACTGGGTTTCTCCTAACAAATAAATTATTTAACATCGTGTTACGTTCGTATTGCCAGAGATCACACTCCTAGAGTAAGTGATGGGCGGACTGCTCATATTGCAACTCCGCTGTCGAACATGGGATTTGAGGATTGCAAATTTAGAAATATAGGAGGGGGAGTTTAGCATTCGATAACCTCAGTCACACAGTGAAACGCGACACAAGCGTTGTTTCACGCCGGTTTTCAGTGAGGCTTTGGCATCACGTCGGTCAATCCAACTCAATCGTGCCGGACCATGGTTCTCCCACACATAATATCAATTGTACAAAAATATATCCATATTTTTAATAATGTCGAACTTAAGATCGTCTTGTTTACGTTTGTGGCTGCTCGCCACTCAGTAACTCCTCGCCTATTAAGTTTTGAGTATGCAGTGGCGCCATCTAGATTTTGCTTCTGGCACTATTTCCACTCCGTTCTACGGCAAATAAAATAACACAATTTTAACGCCATCTGCCGGGTGCATATCGTCCCCGTAGAGCGAAAATTAACTAAGTCCAAAAATTACCAAAATGAGTTATCACTATCATTAAAATGAACTTTTATTTCTCTATAAATCAGTCTAACCGGTATTTATGTAGCTATCGTCGTTTTTGTTTTACGGAATGTGAAAAATAAATAAGCATATGTTTTGGATTCCACATCATAATTGGAGAAATAACTAACTTAATTAATTAATTATACATTTACGAAAAAATTGCATAACTTAAAATTAAGTCCACTTAATTATTTTCCTATTCAATTGTGAATGCATCCACTTGTCAATAGTTAAATTAAAAATCACTACAATGATTTGGTTAATATTTGAAATCAATAGTTTGCTAAAACGCACGAAAACGAAAATTAACTAACTCGACGTAGTGAATATTGACTCTTGGTTTTTAAATTATTTGTACTGTACTGTAAAAATGAAAAATCACTAACCCATTTTAATCTTTTTTTCTCTTTTAAAAGGGAAACGTAAGACCTATAGTGAACAAAAATAAAACCTTTAAATTTTAATTTTTGTTCACTATAGGTCTTACGTTTCCCTTTTAAAAGAGAAAAAAAGATTAAAATGGGTTAGTGATTTTTCATTTTTACAGTACAGTACAAATAATTTAAAAACCAAGAGTCAATATTCACTACGTCGAGTTAGTTAATTTTCGTTTTCGTGCGTTTTAGCAAACTATTGATTTCAAATATTAACCAAATCATTGTAGTGATTTTTAATTTAACTATTGACAAGTGGATGCATTCACAATTGAATAGGAAAATAATTAAGTGGACTTAATTTTAAGTTATGCAATTTTTTCGTAAATGTATAATTAATTAATTAAGTTAGTTATTTCTCCAATTATGATGTGGA